ATGGCCTATATGACCTTACTTTGCCCATTTCCTACATTTCTTATTAAATGAACTTTATTTATCTCATAACATGTCAATATTATCTAGTTATAGGTGTATAAGGAAAGAAATCACATCAAAAGAGCATATTAACACAAAATGGCCCTAATATGGCCCATATGACTTCTATTCAACCCATTTTCTACCTTTCTTGTGAAATAGCCTTTTTGTTTCTCATAACATGTCATTGTTGGATAATATTAGGTGTCTAAGGCTAGAAATCACATCAATATAGCATTTCAAGAAGTTTTAGGACTTACCTCATTAAGCTGTTGAGTGTCCGTACAATGAGTCACAATGTCAAGCATGAATCTCATCACATACAAAGCACAATCAAGTCCATTCTCTTGTTGTGCGCACTAGCATATGACAAACAAATCACATCATTGAAACATGCAAAGGAAATGAGCAAATATTTACTACCATCGATTTTCAAGATAATCACAATATCATGTAAATTACCAACGGTGTCTTCCATGTTGGACCCTTTGGAGCACGACAATGTAGCTTCTTCATAACACTGTAGTATAAAAAAGTAAATTCAAATTTGATTAGTCGTATGATTACTAAATTAGTTATTACTAGCAATAATCATCACTAGGTTGCTATATATATATTTACTTTTGCAATATAGACTTCACGAGCCACTTCTCCGATGATCGAGCTGAATCAAGGTGATAAATTGTGTTAGTGGAATTACAAATCACCATGAGGCTCCAATGCTCCCTACATAAGTTCACAATAGACAAGGTAATTAATATTTAGGAATCAACATATAATGAGGCCAAATCGATTGAATTTGACATGGTTAGACTTATTCTCTATAACATGGGGCGAATATGAACTTGTCTCCCGCACGCGCTGATTCCCTTATACTCTGTTCAACATAGTACAACACGTCATGGGGGTTGCCTATGATTTTAGTAGTGGATAACTGCTCGGGGCATAACCACCCAACTTTACAAGGAGAATCAGTGTCAGTTAAGTGCTCCTGTAGTGCTCTGCGTGCATGAACATTGAATAATTTATCAGATGTAGGATAATCACCATCAATTTGAATAACTTGAAAAAAGTATAGATTATGTGGGCATTGAAGTACCTCATGAATGTTTGAATGAGGGAAATGTTAAACTTTGCACCACGTAGAAATTCCTTCACATCTTCTTTGCTGATCCATGCAATTGCATCCTCATCATAGTGGAACATTGCCTTAGGAAGTGCAACTTCCATGGGATCGACCAAATGACAAGCACGGTTGTGAAGAAAGGTCATGTCAGTAGAGAGAGATTGAAGAACAATGTCTTCAACAAGTGGAGTAGGTGGCATGGGTGAACCTTTCGAAGAGTGCAACTTCGACGCTTGTTCACTCTTGGACCGTTGTTCACTTAGCTTCTTCTTAGGTTGATCAATTCTTTTAGGCTTCTCCACCCTCTTTCTCTTTGAAGTTTTGCTTCCATTGGAAATCTGAAATAGTTGATTATAAATATGTGATTATGAGATGTTTTGAGATGCAAGGAGTTTATAAGTTTAGAAATGAAGAAATAGGCAAGTAAGTAGCCATTTTGGCTCGAATTGGCTTTATTTTGATGAATTGGACCCAAAAACTTAGAACATGGCAATTTATATGTAATTTCAAATGACAAACACTTATAAATATGTGATTATGAGTTGTTTTGAGATGCAAGGAGTTTATAAGTTGAGAAATGAAGAAAATAGTCAAGTGAGTAGCCATTTCGGCTCAAAATGGCTTTATTTTGATGAATTGGACCCAAAAACTTAGAACTTGGCAATTTTTATGTAATTTCAAATGACAAACACTTATAAATATGTGATTATGAGTTGTTTTGAGATGAAAGGAGTTTATAAGTTGAGAAATGAAGAAAATAGGCAAGTAAGTAGCCATTTCGGCTCGAATTTATTCACAATTTTCTAATTTATTCACAACTAATTAGAAGCAAGGTCACTAATATACACATTAAAACATACAAAAACTCGACTAAGGAACAAGGTAATGCAAAATTACTAATATATTCAATCGAGGATCAAGAGTCAAAGTATTCAATCACAATAATTTGACTAATGCTTTAACCATCTGGAACAAAAAGAAAAGTGCATGGAGAAAAATAAACTCACTCTTTTTCACCAAGCTTCACTGTAGTTCCTCCGTATTCACGGTATCCCCTTCTTTGACAGCAACAGGAATATGATTCCCCGTCTTGTCACGAAGGCCAGGTCCAACAGCAAGAACTTTTCCAGAATTCAGCTGAAATCGAATCCAAGCAACAAAATTCAGTAATAAATCCTTAAACTGATTCAATTATCAAAAACCAAACTCCCCAAAACAAGGCATCATAAAAAAATTTCACAGCCAGCAATGTAGCACAAACATACAATTTTAATCCCAACAATGTAGCACAATTTTAATCTAAAATAAGATGAACCCATTAATTTTCTTTGCATTTCATATACAATCTAAGCACAATTTTAATCTAAAATAAGATGAACCCATTAACTTGAAAAGATGAACTTACCCTAAATTAGTTGGAGGTGGAAGAAGCTAAGGGGATGAGAGAATGAAAAGACCCTCGCTGGTGGAGGAGGCGGTGCGCGCTGGTGGAGGTGGAGGCGGTGCGCGCTGGTGGAGGTGGTGGCGGTGCACGCTGGTGGAGGTGGAGGTGGAGGCGGTGCACGCTGCAGCTGTTGTTGTTTGTTTCGCACAGAGAAAGGCGGTGGAGGGCAGGGCAGGGCAGGGAGATTCACGGCGGTGGTTTAGGCACCTGAAAGCGCCGGTGAAGGTGGCGGCTGTGGTGGAGGGAAAAGGTGGAGGCACGACTACTCTGAGTGAGAACGAAAGAAGGGATGAACGAATGAAGGGAAGGAAAGAGAAAGAGAGGAAGAAAAGAGGAAAAGACGCGGTTTTTTTTGTTTTGAATTTGGCACCGGTTTGAATGGCACCGGTTCAAACCGGTGCCTTTTTTATTTTTGGCACCGGTTCAGGCTGAACCGGTGCCTTTTCTCTTTTGGTAAAAACCCGCCCAATTCTAGACCGGTTTTGGGCACTGGTTTAGGCTGAACCGGTGCCATATGGGGGGTGCCTAATGCTTTATTTCTACTAGTGTATTAATGATTTATGTGCTGGGCTTAATTATGATTATTTGTGGTAGTTGTTAGGTTTAAATGTGTGATAAATTATTTTTGAAGTTCTGGCATATTGGGCGGTTCAAGCATCTTAGTAATGGTGATTTGGTGTATGAGGGGGGCAGAGGTAAATCTAAGCAAATTGACCCAGCTTTGCAAAGTTTCTTTGATATAATAGAGTTAGCTAAGGAGTATTGTGGTGAGAGTAAAGATGTTGCTGGGTTGTATTATTTGCTGCCTGGGTTAAGCATGACAAATGGTTTGAGGAAAGTACATGATGATGCTAATGTTATGGAGGTAGCAAGGTTGGGTGTGAAGTATAGGTGTGTGGAGCTTTATGTGAAGCATAGAGATGAGTCACCAGAGCTTGACCCTTTTGAGGAACCTGAAGTTCAAACACTACAAGAAAACAGCAAAATTGCGACGGAAAAAGTTCGTCGTAAAATATGTCAATTTCGTCGTAAAGTTGGTTTACGACGGAATTCCGTCGTAAATGATTGTCGGAAAACCCTTTGTAGGAAAATGGCCATATTACGACGGAATTTCCGTCGTAAACCAACTTTACGACGGAAATAATATCGTCGGACTTGGAATTGGCCTTTATTGAACTTCCAACCACTTACACAAGCTTCCCAATCTGCCCCACAACCATCCAAGTAAAAAAAGAAAAGAAAAAACACCTAAGAGGGGCCCACCAACTATGTTGACTCAAGTTAGGACAAGCCCTAGGACCAAAAAAGCACCTGCCTCACCATTAATGCAAAAAGATATGCCCAGTGTAGATCAGCAACTGCCCAAAAAAGCATCTTCCCACCCACCCAAACATACAGATGCCCCAAACCCCCCCTCCCTACTCAGACTGGTATTAATACTTTAGATCTAGGTTTTTTAAAGCAAACTACTCCACAAAAAACCACTGCACCTACAAATACAACCACTCCTACTAAAACCTTACAACCCTTAGCTGATGATGATTATGATTGGCTTGATGACAGGCCTAATAATCCACTTAGGCTAGACCAGTTGGTTGAGGGTTTTTACAGTGATGAGGATGATCAGGGAGACCCTTTGTATAACCCTTTAACAGATAAAGGGAAAGGTGTATTAGTTGAGAGTAGTCAAGCAGGGAAGGTTGTGGGAGGTGTAGATTATGTTTTTGGCGGAGTTTATACTGATGAAGACAGTGGGCGAGGATGATGTTGAATTGGAAGCTGAGCAGTTTAAAAGTGGATTGGATGGATTAGATGTAGAACTGGAGGAAGACTATAATGAGGCAATTTTCGAAGATGGGGAGTTTTATGATTCTGATGTGAGTGATAAAGAGTATGACCAAGCTAGGGAGTTTAAAGGCTTGTACCACACAGTTAGTTCAAGCTGCTGCTCAGTTGGCTAAAGAAGCAATTGAGGGGAGCAAGGCACCTGAAGTTGAGGAAGTACAAGATAAAGGCAGTGAGCATGAAAGTGAGTATGATGAGAGTGATGAGGAAGAAAATACACCACCACCTAGTGATGATGAAGGAGTGGAGGGGAACCTGAGAAAGAGATCAAGCTTGCTAGTGAGTCCAGACACATATTTCTCACAATTTAATTGGAGAGTTGGTTTGAGGTTTGCTAAGAGGGATGACTTCAAAGAAGCAGTTGCAAAGTATGCAGTCTTTTAGGGCAAAAATTTAGTGATCTGTAACAGCAACAAGAACAAGGGTCAAAGAACTGAGGCAAGGTGCATTAAAGGGTGCCCTTTTAGATTGTATGCTTCTTGGCATGCTGGCAAGGCAACCTTTTTGGTCAAAAGTGTGTGCAACAAGCACACTTGTTACAGAAACATGAAGAAGAACAGACAGTTGAAAGCAAAATGGGTTGCTGAACAGTTTCTAGAAGTGTTCAAAACAAGGCCCCACTGGCCTGCAAAAGAAATAGTGGACTGTATTAAAAGTGCATACAAGATAATAATGACTAGAGTGTTTGCATATAAGGTCAAGTATGCAGCCCATAAGTTGTTACATGGATCCATGCATGAGCACTACACTAAAGTGGGAGGCTATTTAGCTGCACTGAACAAAACCAGCCCAGGTAGTCACACTGAGTTAGTGACTGTTATGCAAAAGATCCCTCCACCAATCTTCCAAAGGCTGTTTATGTGCTTAGAAGGTCTTGCAAAGGGTTGGATAGAGGGTTGCAGGAAGGTTTTAGCTGTTGATGCTTGTTTCTTGAAGACCTTCCTGGGTGGTCAGCTCCTGTATGCAGTAGGCAGGGATGCCAATGACCAAATGTACCCAGTGGCATGGGCTATAGTGGAAGGGGAGAACAACTTAAGCTGGGAGTGGTTTTTCAAACACATCCAAGCTTGTCTCCTGTTGGGTGAAGGTGAAGAGGTTGCTATCATTTCAGATGAGCATTAAGTAAGTTCTTTTCTTCTTTTTTTATGCAGTTTCTATCTTGTGCTATTAAATCATGTTGTCAACTTTCCTGAAAATTTGTTGTCTTTGGTTTTGCAAGGCCATATTGAATGTTGTCTCCACGTGTTGCCCAAAGCTGAACATAGGCACTGTGCAAGACATGTGTTTGCACACAGGCATAAGACTTATAGAGGAGATGAACTCAAGTTGCAATTTTGGAGGATTGCAAAGAGTTACAACATTGCTGATTATGAAGAAAGATTGCAGGAGCTGGCTGTAATCAACAATGATGCAGCTGAAGCTTTCAAACGCTACAATCCATATTTATTTTGCAGGGCTTATCTCAGAAATTCAATTAAAACAGATGCTATCACAAGCAATATAGCTGAGACCTTCAATGGGTATATAATTCAGGCTAGGACAAAGCATCTTCTCCATTGCCTGGAAGACATCAGAGCTATGCTTATGCAAAGGATAGTGAAGAAAAGAAGTGAAATGATGAAGTGCACAACTGCTCTTTGCCCAAGAATTCAGTCTAAGTTGAATAAGGAGAAGAACAAGTCTGCCTATTGTGAAGTGTTCCCATCTTCAGAGACTTTGTTCAATGTCTCTCATAATATGGATCAGGTTGTTGTCAACTTGGAAACTAGGAGTTGTTCTTGTAGGAAATGGGATATGCTTGGCATTCCCTGTTGTCATGCATGTGCATGCATATTCTTCCTAATGAAAGAAGCAGAGCACTATGTGGATCCCTGTTACACTAGGGAAAACTACTTGAAAGCCTATGCAGGTAAACTTGGTTATATAATGTCTTGTCTTTTTCACATGAATAGTTGTATCTTGATTTGAGCACTGACATTACATGTATACTGGTTTGAATTGTCACAGGTTCTATTCCACCTGTATAAGGTGAGAGATATTGGCCAAAGTGTCTTGCCCCCAGCTCCACCTCCAATTAAGATTGGACCAGGGATACCTAGGAAGAATAGGATGAAGGACCCCTATGAGAATCCTAAAAACCAGACACTTTAACCAAAACTGGCATACAAATTTCCTTTTCTTTGTGTAAGTCCACCCTCCACAACAAAAGAAAGTGTCCTCACAAGGATACTGCAGAGGCCCCACCTGAACCACCCACAAAGAAACCTAGGGGAAGACCTAATAAATATTGCCAGCCATCCCAAACTAGTGTTGCTGATGCACAGGTTGCCCCACCACATCATCACATATCTGCCCAACCCACTCAACTTGGGAGAGGGGGAAGGGCAATAAGAGGGAGAGTGGGTGCAAGAGGTGGTCAACAACCTCAGACCGGGAGAGGTCAATCACAGACTTCTGCAGCAGCTACATCACAGGCTGTTGGGTTGTCTCAATCTACAGTGAGAAGGGGTGGCAGAGCTGGTGGGAGGAGGCAGACAATGGGTGGTAGAGGTTCTTGGAGAGGCCATACAAGGGGTGGCAAAGGAAGGGGAAGAGCTCCTATAGGGGTTGGAGTTCTATTTGGTGCAGATGGGTCTGTACTACCCAATGTAAGTAACCTAGACTAACTTGGATCTCTGTCATTTCTTATTTTTCACTTTCAAATTTCACTAACCACACTTGTATATTTGTCTTCTAGGTTAGAGGAAAATCTTCTAAGGAGCTATCTGGAACAACTATCACCATGAAGACCAGAGCAGCATCAAGTCAGCAAGCCTATAATGTCATGACTCGAGATAGCTTAAGCCACAAAACAACCAAGCATCATCAAACTCAGTAGCATATGTAGAATGTGTTTGTATGAAACAATGTCCTTTTGTGTATGAAACAATGTTTCTTTTGTACTTGTAATAACCTGTGCATGCATGTTGGCTAGTTATTTTGGACTTGTTTGACTTTAAATGAATCTACTACTTTACTCTAACATGAATCTATCTTTGTGTATGATAAGAAATGAAGCATATATTGTTCAAATGTCAACTTTTATTTCATTGCATAAACACTGACAAAATACAAAGTGAAATCCAAACCACAATGCTGATCTAGCAACACATCACACACTAAAGTACTCTCAATTGACATGAGTACATAATGTTTCAACAAATAATAAGCTACTTAGTTCAATATTAATCAAGAACCCATCTTTAAAATACAAACCACAATGCCAAAGAACACCCATGAAGAAAACAGAGCCAATGTCAAATTGGATTCAGTCCTTGAACAACGCATGAGTTCAATCCTAAGTTAGGTAATTTCAGCTTTCATTTCTTGCAGCTCGTCCGCGAAATTTTCCTTCTTTCCTTGCAATCTCTTGACTTTGTCCTCTAACATAGCCTTATGCATCTCCAACTCAGCTATTTTTGTTTCCCTTTCAAAGATATGAAACCTCAAGTCATCCCCATTGTTACAGTCCACCCACTTCATGAAATTGCAATCAGTGTCCTGTACAGTTGCAACAAAACCCTAATTTCACCATCATTTCAAAATTTCAAAATAAAAAAAAAAACAACAACATCAACATATCTTCATTACCCAAAAATGCAATCACAACAGAATAAACTAACAACCAATTAACTTAGTAATTAACTTACTGGCCATTTTGAGCAGCCAAAGAACTTACAACCAACATTTGGTCCCTTCTTCATTGTACGAACAACAACATCTAGCCCACAATTGCACTTCATGTTAGCATATAAGCCTCCTCTAGAGCTTGAAGAAGAATCAGGGGACCCACCAAGTGAAGTTCTTCCACCAGCCATTGATTAATTAAAGGAATCGCAAAAAAAAAATTAAAAAACTTTAATTGCAGAAACAGGGGAGAAGAAGAGAGGAGAGGAGAAAATAACGGGCAACAATTGCCAGCTAAGGGAAGAAGTCAAAATTTGAATTAAAAAAAAGGAAAAGAAATGCCACGTGTGTTTTTTACCTGCTAATGTAGGTTGGTGACCTGTTGGGACTGCTCTAGGCAAACTGGTTCAATACTTAGGATTGTTAAAAAATAAACTGTAGTTGGGATTGTTGTAGGTAAATGGGCAATAGTTGGGATTTATAAAGTGTATTTTTCCTAAATAAAATTACTCAAGGTACAGTTTAAACACCTCACTCAATTAACTAATCATGAACATTTCTTTAAACAACTTAGAGTAGTACCAATAATATGCGCCCAACACCAATCATGCAGAACCATCATTATTTTTGCTCAATCAAAATAAATTGTCTTTCAAATAATATCAAAGTTGTCTTGCTTTTAGCTTGTAAAGAAACATATACTATATTATTAAATTTTGAATAATAATAAACAGGATTAAACTTTATGGAATGTATAGGATTTTATTAACGGTTGATAAGTCAAGGCTTACTGTTAAACCTATGTCTAACAGATTCATTTTTCCTGAAGCTAAAGGTCATTAAAAATTTCTTTGCACACGACATTTTTTGTTTTTTAAATGTGGCTCTCATCACATTGTGTGTTAGGGATGCAGATTTTGAGTCCCTTTCTTGCGGTGACTCTTGAGACAGCCACGTAAAGTTGCCCATGGCTGAAGACTGGTTCTGGTAAGTATATTCCAACGTGATCGAAAGTTTGCCCTTGGCTTTTGTTGATTGTCATTGCGAAGCAAACCTTGATTGGGAATTGCCGATGCTTTAGGATGAATGGCCATTTTGTATCTGATTAAGACATCTCCACACGTGGTATGCAAACCAGGTCTCCTGCATTTGTTCCAGTTACAATCTGTGCTTCAATCACTCGATTTTGTAATCTGGTTACAATAAGCCGTGTACCATTACATAAGCCATCTCTTTGGCTGATGTTCCTCAATAACAGTATTGGGCACCCTACCTTAAGATGTATTTCATGGTTTGATACGCCCGGGAACTGCAAAGTGTTTAGGAATTCTGTAGGGTACAATGACTCCACATTTCTCCGACCTCTAGTAGCTTGACATATTCTGTCTGCACTCTTGTAGATCCTCTCTTCTCCTTGAATAATTTCTAAGATATGTCCATTTATCTTGTCAACTGTTTCATTTTTTGTAGCTAGTATGGCCCGTTGTTGGAGATATCTCGGGTCCATGTGCTTATCAAGGATTTCAGGGTAAACTTCCTCCACCAATGTTACTATTGGATTAGCTCCTCCATTTATTAATAAGTCACTTGGAATATCTATCCACATTGGTTCATCCTCACCTTCTTTTGTTGTTGTTGTTATTTAGCCATTTCCTATGTCTAATACCCATTTGCTGAAAGCTGCCAGGTCATGTATGTTGTCTGACTGACGTAGCCGCATATTTGTCTTTAGTGTGTGTATAATACATTGTGTCAAAATGGTGTTTGATTTGCTGACAAATGCATCTACAATGTCTACTCGTCCCCCTTTTGGAACAACAGGTAGTATATGTTGAAAATCGCCTCCTAATACAATAGTTTTTCCACCAAAAACTTTATCCTTTGTTGTCTGGTTAGAGAGTTGCATTATATCTCTCAAGGTGCGATATACTACTTCAAATGCATATCTATGGACCATTGGTGCCTCATCCCATATTATGAGCTTAGTTTTTTGGATTCATTCAGCAAGGTCAGATCCTTGTTCAATGCTACAACAAGAATTCTCATTTAAATTCATAGGGATCTTGAACCTAGAATGTGCGGTTCTCCCTGAAGGTAGAAGTAGTGCTGCTATCCCTAACGATGCCACTGCGAGGACTATATGTTCTTCTGACCGAAGCTTCGATATTAAAGCTTTCCATAAATAAGTCTTTCTAGTTCCTCCACTACCATAAACAAAGAAGAGTTTCCCTGTGTTATGGTACACCGCTTCAAGGATGTTATCATAAACATTTCTCTGTTCAGCATTCAATCCATTCTCTAAGTCACATGCATTGCGAGCCAACGATTGGGTGTCGTAGCTTTGCTCTTCTAATACCATCCGGTTTCCAGAGTCTTGTAGTAAAGTTGCATCTGGTAGCGGTATTCCGTGGTAATCAATGAGGCTTCTATTCTCTCTATTTAAGAGTTTTTCGATCTCATATAGAGCGTAGTTTCGAAGTTGCTCTTTAGTAAGACTCAGGTTTGCAATACCAAGTCTTTGTCGTTGTCTGTGAGTTATATCATCCGATAAGGCTTCCCAATGCTTTTCCCACAAGTCTTTTGGGTCTGAAACCTCACAAAACAGTAGTATTGTAACAAAGAGGTTCCTTAATTGTGTGCCAGTAGCCCATATAACTGCTTCATGTAAAAACTCATGCCATTCATTATCTCCAGTTAGAAGTTCAAGTGCATGGCATGCTGCCTTGTATGTTGGATGTATAATTCCACCACTGTCCTGATGTCTTCGAAGCATGTCGCACCTTTGACAATATTAAGCAACAACCTTAAATAGAACTTCTCACCGGACACTGGGTGGGCAAAGTAAATCCTTCCAATGCTCGTCCCTATCTTCCTTTTTTGCCATTTTTTCTCATCACTCAACCACCTCCACTCTGTAGGGAAGTCTACATATGTTAGGTCACGTGCTTCTGCGTACAACTTATTAGCAGTCATCCACTCTGTTAATGTTGTTTTCTTCTGCCCCACTCTTTCCAGGACATCATTTAGGTGCTCATGGTCTTGAAAAAGCACGTGTTGTTGATTTTCTAGGTGGAACGTAAGTCTTTGTACTAGGGGATCCTTGTATTGGATGATAAATGAAAATATTCGCCAGCAAGCTTTAGAGGCAGACACATATCTACATTTTAGATAATTCTCTATCTCATCTACTACTTTTTCCCCTGGTGTTTGAGTGTGAGACCCTTCATTTTCCCCTCTAGTCTGCTCAATTCTTGCAAGAGCGATGTCTGGTCCTTTGTTCATGTACTTGAATAGGTATTTCAGTGACCTATCTTTATGCAGTATTCAACATTTATGTGGGCTTGATATTTGACCACCATGTCGATGTTGTAAGGTATTACAAATCTATTATCCAATATCTGTCCATTTTTTGTTGCTGTTCTGCTATTTTCTCGTCTTCTGTAAATAGGGTAACCCTCATCATTTAGCATTGTTGCTCCTTGTAGAGAATAAATTTCAAGCGTTAACCCCTAGCTTGAACCCCACTGTGATCATACACTAAAGTACGGTGGCGTCCAAAAGGGATAAAGATAGAGCAAAAGAGTCGCCAACAAGTTTTAGGAACTTGTAAACCGTTCACGAGGTGAAGGTTACACTAGTAGAACCGGTGGCTTAAAAAATGGGCGGGATTAGGCATATGTACATTGCCACCGGTTCAAGCCGAACCGGTGGCATAAATGATAAAGGCCACCGGTTTTGAACCGGTGGCAACAATCAAATAATAAAAAAAAAAAGTCCACCATTCTCTTTTCCCTTCCTTTATATACCCTAACCCTAATATTCTCTCTCCTCTGTCGCCTCTCCTGCTCTCCTCCTTCTCTCTATCTCCTTCTCTCCTTCGTTCTTACTCCCCAACTGATCTCCTTCTCGTCGCCCTTCGTCCTCTCTCCTCCGTTCCCCTCCTTCGTACTCCATCAAATCCGCACTACACAGCCACCATCAACCACCGAAATCACCCAACTTCACCCGAAAAAAATCCATTACCCACGAAATCACCACCACGCCACCACCACACCAGCAACATCAACAACACCGTCAGATCTACATCATCAACACCAATTTTCGCTCTTTTTCGCAGTTTTTGGGTTTGATATTTCGAGGTTACGGTTTCTGGGTTTAATTGATTTTGTAATTGCTATGTTTAATTGATTTTGGAATTTTCTGGGTTTAATTAATGAGTGTTGATGGGTCTATGTTTCTGGGTTTAATTTGATTATTCAAGGGTTTCTGGGTTTATGTTTAATTCGAAATTGCATGAGTGTTCTGGATTTTTTTTTAATTTTTTTTTTCGTGTTTTTTGTGAGTTTTTATTTATTAATTTTAATCTTGGTGTTCTGATTTTCGAAATTGTATGAGTATTCTGGTGAAATTGCATGCGTTTTTTAGGTTGTTTTGTTTTATTTTGAGTTTTCTGTTTTTTTTTTTCGGGGATTTCTGGGAATTTTTTTTATTATTATTAATTTGAGTTTTCTGGGTAGATAATGCATTTTTTTTTTAGTTCTTGAGTTTTATTAATTTTAGTGTTTTAATTGATACAGGTATTAGATTATGACTCCACGAAGAATCAAGATGTTTGTGTCAAAAAAAATCAAGATGTTGATTTTGGAATATTGTTTTAGAACTTAATTTTATTTATTTATTAATTTATTTTTATGTTGTAATTTTTTTTTTTTGGTATTTTACAATAACAATTTAATGATAATTATATTTTGGATTATATTTCGGTTGATTTCGATGTTTTTTTTCGATGTTGTGTTTCTTACCTAATTACATTGAATCGTTAGAGTATATTTCAAGTGGAAAAAACAAAACCAAAAACAAAAAAAATATATATATTTCCATGCACATTGCCACCGGTTAACCGGTGGCATTTATATATAATACCAAAAAAAAAATAAAGCTGGAAGGGTTATTGCCACCGGTTTTGAACCGGTGGCCTTTGCTTCGGAGTATTGCCACCCCCCAAATGACCACCGGTTCAAAACCGGTGGCATTGGGGGGTTTTGAACCGGTGGCAAATTCATATTTTCGCCTAGTGTTACACCCCTTAACGATCCAAGAGATCGTCAACTCCATAAGGTCTTGAACCAAATAAGGGTTCGGGGATGAAGGTACAAATACAACCTAAAAGAGATTAAACATGCCCTAATAATAGGCCTTTACTTTATTCTGATCGTATTCATGTGCGCTTTCTGACTAACATGCAATCAATAGGATTACCCTAAACCTGTTTATCTATGTTGGTTGAATATTAATGCACAAATAAAATTATTATTGGCGATCACTTGAAATATAATCAAATTAACCCTAAATAAGATTATTAATTATCTTATTAAGCATGATTACAAGTACCAAATTCCCTTTAAACATGCATAAAAGGTGTAATCAAGCAATAACAATAAATAATTTCATCAAGCAACATAATCATAAATAATCAAAATAATAATTATAATCATCAAAACAATAATCATCATAATAACAATCATAATAATAATTACAATCATCAAAACAATAATCATCAAAATAATAATAATAATATTCATAATCAAAACAAATATAAAAATAGTCATAAATCATGTTAAAGCATAATAAAAATAGCAAGATCCTAGGCATGATACTAACAAAATTAATAACAAACCCTAGCATGTCACTAAGAAATAAAATCAAATCTTTAACCCTAACATGATACTAACAATCATAAATATTAGGAAGAACATAGGAAGCATCATACTTTTAATCATACTTAATATTAAAGATACCCTAGACATGATACTAGGAATCATAAATAACGATCTAAGCATGATATCTACATCATGAAATCAATTAAACCATTAAAGTACTTACTTGGATGCCTCGTACCTCTTTCTAATTACAAAATACACACGTTAGTAACTTCAAGGAAAATAATAAACAAACAATTAAATTAAATAATTGAAATAGAGATTTGGGACCAAACCCTCAGAAATTAAAACCTTTCACGTCTAGGGCAAAGGCAACTTCGAATATGGCTAGGCGTATCTAGATCTTGTGAATGCGGAATTTTGTATGAAAAAAAGCAAGGAAGAAAGAATGCATGAAAGGGATGAATAAAAGAAATTGAATGAAAAGAATTGATGAATGGTAATTGATGAATAATTTTGTGAATGAAGAGAGTTGATTATTGGTAAAGATAGTTGGTAGATGATGAATGAAAACAGATTGATGATGATTGAAAACGGAGTTTTTTATACGATATTTATAGAGAAAAACATCCAAAAAAGATAATTTATCAAAACAGAGTCTGAAGATCGAAAAACTAACTTGGCGCCAGCCCTGGCTCATTGGCGCCAGGACCAGTGGCTAGCGTCAGGCGCCAATGGCTGGCGTCTGGCGCCAATCCTGATTTCAGGCGCCAAGGCCTGGGGTTGGACGCCAAACCGGCTTTTAACGCGTTTTCGAAAATCTGATAATTTTACTGTATTGGAAGATAAAATAATATAATTTCAGTCGAAAATGCTATTTGATCTTGATTAAAACTCTGAAGAATCCTAATTGAATTAAGAATGATAAGACCTTCTAGAATGTTCTAGAAGACCAAAACCATTCCTAATTACATTAGGAATGATAAATCATATTAGGCCCTCCCCTAGATCATTGGGCCGTACTTAAAACTCAAACCAGGCCCAGTTTAGTAAATTGGCCATAACTTCCTCAATATTCATCGGAATTGGGCTTATAATATATCGTTGGAAAGGTCTTTGCAAGCCCCATCCAACTACACCACTATTGGACCCATATCATGGACCAACCAAACTGGATTGGCTGTTTTCTTAAAATAAAGTTTTCAAAAACAGAGAGAAGAAAAGAAATAAAACTTTCCGCAACACTAGACCTTTCCACACTTTCGTTTCATTCGATTATGATTCGACGTGAAAGGCACTCATCACTGGGTTTGGTTTTGGGGAGACACAAATGGGTGTCTACAGAATGATAAATCATATTAGGCCCTCCCCTAGATCATTGGGCCGTACTTAAAACTCAAACCAGGCCCAGTTTAGTAAATTGGCCATAACTTCCTCAATATTCATCGGAATTGGGCTTATAATATATCGTTGGAAAGCTCTTGTCAAGCCCCATCCAACTACACTACTATTGGACTCATATCATGGACCTACCAAACTGTATTTTCTGTTTTTATTAAACTAGGTTTTCAAAAACAGAAAGAAGAGAAAAGAAATTAAAGCTATCCGCAACACTAAACTTTCTACACTTTCACTTTATTCGATTATGATTCGACGTGAAAGGTATTCACCACCGGGTTTGGTTTTGGGGAGACACAAATGGGTGTCTACAGTCTGCCGTTCTTTAAGCCTTTTAAAAAGAGGAAATGTAGCAATAACAGTTCTTCCACTTCGGATTCTACTCCGGAGATGTCTGAGGGTAAGGTGGCTGCCCGGGACGAGCCACCAAATCAGCCATGAATGTGGCGGCGTGGAACTATAGGGGTCTTGGTACTGCGGACTCCCCTAAGGTTCCGTATTTTCCTCAAAAACATTCTTTTATTCTGATTAAAACTCTAAAAAGTCAACAAAAGTCAATTTATCAATGCTAATTGAATTAGGAATGAAAAAAACCTTCTAGAAGAATATAGAAAACTAAAACCATTCCTAATTGCATTAGGAATGATAAATCCATATTAGTCCCTCCTCTAGATCATTGGGCCGCATATAAGGCTCAAACCGACCCAGTTTAGTAATTTGGCCATAACTTCCTCATTATTCATCGGAATTGGGCTTATAATATATCGTTGGAAAGCTCTTTTCAAGCCCCATCAAACTACACTATTATTGGACCCATATCATGGACCAAAAAAACTGGATTGGCTGTTTTATTAAAATAAGTTTTCAAAAATAGAGAGAAGAGAAAAGAAAATAAAACTATCCGCAACACTAGACTTTCCACACTTTCACTTCATTCGATTATAATTCAACATGAAAGGTACTCATCACTGGGTTTGGTTTTGGGGAGACACAAATGGGTGTCTACATTCCTTGAAAATCCTTTGGATAGTGTTTTGAGCACTTTCCATCTTGCATGCATGGAGAGTTTTGATTCTTTGTCCCACAGGGTCTATGCATCATCGATTGGACGACAATTTTGCAACCAATCAAGTCATGATCTTTGTCCGGTAGTTCTACTGAAATAATCCTATCTATGTCTTCTGGACTTTGTGGCTTATCATCCGAATGCAAGAATAATAGGATGGGTGCATGTGGTAGTCCCCTTTTTCTAGAAATTCAATGGTATATACCACTGCATTGGTAAAACAAAATCTTAGCTTTCTTATTTTTCTGTGTGCTATTTTTGTACTCAGAATTTAGGTTGAGGTACTACCTGCTATTGTCCGTTCAAAGTGTTCTCTTGTAGTCAGATCACGTATTAATTCATCTATCTTGAGTTTAAATACGCGAACCACAACATCTGGTCTGTCTTCTGAACCTTGACCTGGTATGTCTGCTAAGAATTCGGTAATTACTTACCACTTTGGATTGCAAGTAAACGTTATGAATAGATCCAGTGGCCCAGCCTATCGGCAAATGGCCAATGCATCATGGTAGTTCTCCACCGTGTATCTAGGTCCAGCAGTGAAGGAAGACGGTAGGAAAATTCGTTGTCCTATTGAAGCAGAAGATGTGTCCCCTCGCGAAACAGCATCGGTCATTCCGCACAACACTTCTTTTCTTATTGTTTGCTGGTTATGACGAACATAATCTAACCTCACTTCTTGCATGCATGTGAATGCATCCACAATGAATTGTTGGCGCAAACGCCCACAAAGAATGAGTGTGCGAGCCTCATTTAATCTTTCCATCAAGAGAAAAGCATAATATTCGCGCATTGTGACTGTTTTTTTTTCTTACGCGTTGTTGACTCTACATCTCGGTGTAAGATGTCAATTCTAAAGCCATCTTCTCCATACGGAAATAAAAGTGGATATTGTAAAGCCATGAAACTGGGGTGGTTTTCGGATATCCTTCGAAGTCCACGACGCTTTTCTTCAACTATGACATCTCGTTGTCCTCCTTCACTTTCTCCATTTCCCACAATCAAAGCTGCAAGTTCATTACTGGACGGTATATTGTATTGTCTACCATCCTTTGAACGTGTTCCAATCAGGAAAAACAAAACAGGGTGCATTTCAACATTTAATAATCGTTTCCTGGCCATTTTGAACACTTTTGCTAGTTTATTGTTCTTGTATAACATTTTGGAAAGTCCATCAACTATTTCAGGGTCAAAGTCGGTTGCTTCTAGTGAGTTAATTCTATTACGAACTTCATTACCAGTGTCGTGCACATAGAGTTGGGTGAATCTAGGTTGCTTCCCATCAGGTGGTAACAAAGATCCAATCTTGTAGTAATTTTGATCGTGGATTCTGAATACATAAGGACCTCTTCCTCTATTAATAGTGTTGTCCACTTTGCCTCTCATTGACGTGAATGCAAATATAGAATTGTAAGTTCTAATGCACTCCTTGAACTTTGTTGACCATGACCCATTATTTGGATCGAGAAGCGACTTTAAGTAGTCTAGTGGTTC